AATAAGCTGGGCCTAACAATTTTCTCTTATACATATACTTTCTCTTGTTATACAATGGACCGTGCGACAACTGAGTTGAGCGAAGTTGCAGTTCACCATTTTAGTTTTCATTGTTTCTTGTTGCGATGAAACTTTTGAATTCTTCATTTTTTTGCTACTTAGTACGGTTTTATGCAATAATTTCTCCGGGGAATAGGAAAATCCACCACAAATTATTAATACAACAGTTTTATAAATATGTATTACCTACCAGCTATTTCTCGCTTTTACCTACGTGATAACCATATTTTCGGCTATATTTGTATAGATGATGGTTGAATCATTCATCTGCCTTCTGGAGCTGCACTATCTCGATTGTCCACTCGGAATCGCAAATATATACTATTTTGTGAACATATCAGCTGGAATTGCTGCTAGTATTTGCGCTAGTGTGCATGTCCAGACAGTCATGCAAATGCAAAAAACTTGTTATTTTAATTTTTAGAAGTTCGCAGATTTTATCAACATGTCCCTGTTGCGCCTACGGAATGTTCAGAAAAATGCCACAACCTTAACCAAATCGATCTTAACTAAAATTCAAATAATTTAATAATATCTAACACTTTCTGGAACTGCCGGATTAAATTGTTCCTCTAGTGTATATTTTCTGTTGAAAATATTTGGCAAAAATCACTATTCATTCTGGATAATTTTTGGTTAAGGAACCACTCGGTTTGCGGAAGCCATGTTTTTGATAAAGTCGATCTTTTTTATTCGTGCAACTTTAAGGTACTAAATTTCTTCTTTTGTTCCAGCAGGCGGCAATTCATTTTGTTCAAATAACTTATCAAACACTTGAGCGTTTATATGATTGACGCCTCATACGTTGTCTTGAAAGGTACAATCGACACATTAGCATAATCCTTTCAAAGTTTCATTTCAGTGACACAAAAAACAAGCATACCTGTACTAATTGTAGTCGGAGCTAATGATATTCCAATCAAGGTTACGATTAAAACAACAAGAATTATTAACAATCGCCTGTAATGTGTTAACTGACGTAAGTTTTTGATGGTTATTGATTTCCACACTAAAAGTACTACACGGTGTCCCACCGGGAACCGCCGCGATCGGTATCTGGCAAACTGCAATTAGCAGAAATTTGAAAATTGGGCAGTGTGCCGAGGTCATTGGGGGCCCGCCGCCTAAAATCTCTTTAAGATGGCCACACTTCCGGTTATACCGGAAGTGCGTATCAACTTGCCTATTTTAAATGAAACACCCTATATATTATTACATTTTTTAATTCTAATCCAAATTCTAAATGTATTTCATGCCTAATGTACTGTACCTAAGTCTAACCGTTTTTGAGATATGTATTTGAAATTGTATGTAAAAAATGACAGTTGCAGCCACTCGAATAATTATTAATTTTTCCTATAAGGGAATTTGTAATACTTAATTTGAGGCGCATTTATTGTTGAAAAAGACTTACTTTAATGGAACTTCGAAAACATTTTGAAAACTTAATTCAAGGTGTTAAAGAAACAAGTTTCAAAATACAGTTGAGAAAACCGCCAAAATCAATTTTTCCAAATGGATACCCCCATTTTTGATAATTTTGTCATATTCAGTATTAAAAATAAGTGTAAGTTTGTCTAACGATGTCTATTCCAAAAGTGTTTAGTTTTCGAAATGTTGCCAATTTAATGTTTTCATATGGCTATTTTGCAGCATCTTTTAAATCCTGTCACGCTTAGTTGCCATGACGAAAGTGGCCATTTTTAATATAATAAAATGCGAAAGGCATGCTGACATCTGTCAGTTACCTTTTGAAAATAATAACAGATTAAATAAGTGCCAAAATTCCTTATAGGAAAAATGAATAATTATTCGAGTGGCTGCCACTGTAATTTTTTACATAAAATTCCAAATACATATATCAAAAACGATTAGACTTGGCTTCAACATGGCTATGAAATATATTTAGAATTGATACCTACTTTCGGTATAACCGAAAGTGTGGCCATTTTGAAAATATTTTAGACCGCTTGCCCCCAATGACCTTGGCACGCTGTCCAATTTTCAAATTACAGTTGTTGTTAATTACAGTTTGTCAGATACCGACCGCGGCGGTTCCCGGTGGGACACCCTGTATAGTCGGCCCCAAGCTTTTTGGTAGTGACGCAGTAATTGGCGTTCTTTTTCTATTACTTGCCCACGAGACCAGCTTGTCCAGCGCGACGAAAGTTAGATGGTATTTACAATTTACTTAAATCAAATTGTTACAATTCACGGAAGTATGGAAGAATATTAAGATTGTTCATTTATTGGCGGGTGTTCGCAGTTTCTGTGCATTTTTTTCCAAATGATCATTTAAATTTTCCGATACATTTGACTGCATAATTCATAATTTGACTGATTGGTTTACCACCACGAAAATAACACAATGTAACGCTCATAGTTAACGTGAGGACATCCAATATAACAAGTATCCTTTCTTGTATCTAACGCTTTTTTTTGAATATCCTATTGTTTGATGCTATGCATACGAAGTTATGCAATATAATGAATTAGATGTGTTCTTTTCGATCCAAGAGGCTCGTCGATTCCAGATGAAGAGCTTTTGAATATACAAGAAAACCGATATGGTCGGATAAACATGGCGACCGCTTAATAGCCGAAAAAGGGTCAAAACGCACTTTTTTGAAGGATCTAATGTGTTTTTAAATGAGTTTGTTCTTACCATGAAAATGGAACAGAGTTTAAACTTCATATCTGCGGGGGTTCGAAAGTTATGATTTTTTTTATGGAGGCATTTGTGAAAAATCCTTAGGTGCTCTAATTATTTTGATTTTTTTACATTTTTATACTCATTAACAAATGATTTACCTACAAGGTTTTAAATTATACTTTATATCTAGAAGAGTTTGGAAGTTATCTTTTTTATATCGGGAAGCTTTCACAACTCCTTGAATTTTTGTGCAAGAACCTAGCAAATGCTCTGCTAAAATGATCCAAAATTTTCACCTCATATCTAAAAGAGTGGGGAAGTTATGATTTTGGACAGCGTCCCGAATTTTTAAGCGAGACAGAGAGTTTAAAAATCGGTAAAAGATTAGTATGCACTTCAAATGCTTTGCATTTTGCACACATTCCAATCAAACACTGCTCTAAGACTTCCAGAAAGTGCATTTGTATATTTATAGGAATTTGGAAGCCATCAATTTGGAAGCCCTGTTGAAACATTTTCAAAAGCGTAACAGATAGAGTAGTAGTAGACAATCTATGGGCTTAACGAACCACTTTCTTGTGTCCTCTACGCAGTAACTAATGGCTTCACTAAACGGTTCTAAAATTTCCAATTTATATCTAAAATTATTTGGAAGTTATGATTTTTTATGAAACACCTGGCACAATCGAAACACTTTTACAAAAGGAGCTGAGAGTGTGGAAAACGCTAGAATATCAAAGGGGGTCCTCCAAATTCCTTTTTGCACACAAATCCAGCAAAGTCTTCCATAAAATCTCCTATATGTTCGGCCTTATGTCTACAACAATCCGGAAGTTATAAGTTTTTTTTGAAAGCATGCCCAACTAACACTCTTATAAACACGAGACAAAGATTGAAAATCGATAAAAAATTAGTAGGTACTTCAAATGTTTAATTTTTTGCACACATTGTAAGCAAAGATTGCACCAAAACTTTGCGAAAGTTTAACTGTACATCTATAGAAGTTCTGAAGATCAATTTTTTCGACCAGTTGAAACATTTTTATAAACGTGACAGCTTCATTGAAACACGGTAGAAATTCCATCTTTTTTATAAAACTTTTCGCTTTCTTTATAGGCACTGACAAAAGGTTCATCTGAACTGTTTAAAGTTATATCTGGGTTTGGAAGTTATGAGTTTTTATCGGGAGTTTTTCACAATTGAGACACTTTTATAAATGGAGCTGAGGGTTTGAAAGACGCTAGAATATTAACGGCTTCTCTAAATATACGAGACCCGAAGTTACTCTCATCAGAGTTTCATTAATTTCGCTGGCTGCGATCCAAATTTTAGACAAATACCTGGAAAATGGCAAGAGTTAGAACGAAAAATCGCAAGAAAATTCCTAAATTCAACTCTCAATGATCTTAGAAGCTAAAGTTCTTCGCACATATGTTTATACAAAAGGACTTTTTTGTGATTTTATTCAGTTTTATAATTTATTTAATTTTGTTTATGGCTTTAAATTTCGTGGGCCTTCAGGCAATAACAACGCAAATTCTGCAAATAAGGAAAATTTTATCTGATGATGGCCTAAACCTAACCCGAGGATTTGTAGAATTGCGTTCTGATTTAATTGAAAACTCGATAATTTCAACTGAGAGACGAGCAGAAGCAGACCTAAAAATGTGTTTTTGCATGAAAAATACGCGACTTGATGACGTTTGCGCCATGACGAACTGCACAATATATTGCAAATTATTGACGAAACTGAAGGAAGTGATTTATTTTCCCAATTATTAGTTTACATTCTGAAAATTTTATTTCACTTTTGCAACTTCAATTAATTTACATGCCATGTTGTCGACGGATCTTGTAAAAAATGGTATTTTATAGAGAGAAATAAAACTTTTAAACTGCACTTAAATGAAGCAATACTAACGACCAATGTTAAATTTATCAAAAAGTAAAGATTGTTTTTAAAACTTCTATAAAACCATGGGATAACAAATCTGATGCAATAAAAAAAAGTTTTTGAAATCACCGTAAACAGACGCTTCAGCTGGCATCTGCAGAATATGACATATAATCTTTCAAACAAATATCGGACATGAATGATTTTTAGTATGACGTCTCATATAATGACGTCACTGCCAAATAGCTTGGGTCAGATCAGTGCCTTTACATACATTAATGCTATACATTCGGAATTCCTGTGTTTTTATTGATCGTTAACCTAAGGAGCATTTAGTTATATCCAGATTTAAAGAAGCACGTTAGTTAGTTTAACGGTTTTTCTTTTTTCCAGATCAAAATGCGGATATCCACCGATAAGTCATCGATTCGACTCAAAGGTAAGTTCCAGTCGTTAGATAATTTCATCTATCTTATAATTTGCTTGCTACATGAAGGCAATTACTCATAATTATCTTCGGTAAATTGACGGACATTTTATTTGTTTATTAAATGAGTTGGCAGCCTTTCACGGTGAACTAATTTGTTTACATATTTATAACTTTCATTTGCTCATATATTTTATGCAACACTAATCTTGAGGAACCTGGGTTCATCTCAGGCTAGCCAGTCCCATTATTGCTTGGTTCATTTTGTTAATTCCCTTCAATGAAAGGATATTTGTCTGTGAAGAATTAGCGGCTTAATGGGTTCTTAAGGTTTATATAACTATTAAGCGTACAAAAAGGCTCATCTGTGCGGCGATACACATTCTGCTGTTTGTTACCTATCCTGTTCTATAAAATTGCGTAAAATTCTTTTGATTTTCTGCTTGCCACCCGAAATTTGCCTTATCATTGCATTGTTCTAGTAATGAAACAACTCTCTCCGCACTTTGCTACCCTCGATGACAAACCATTTTCAAAGGGCTGATATACCCGGACCGATCCATGTTGGGTATTATGCCATATATTCAGAATTCGGGACCGTGCAATTATGTCCGCACAATTCTGTCCCCGTTCAGCTACCCGATTTACACCCGAAATTCTCCCTCATCCCCTTTGTGTTACTCGTTAACCCCCCAATGTCCCTTGTCAACCAAATGACGGTCCTGGATTAATTTATGCATGCTGCTATATGTGCGTTAATGCCATTCGCAGTGTAGATGAGGCCCAAGTATATTGTTTATTGATGTATAAACTGTTTTTACATAAAGCAGTTGAAACTGAAATTGTTGATGTAATGGTATAAAAAATGAAGAGGGCATAAATATTATTGAGGAAGTTCGTGAACGTTTTGTGGAAAGGACATAGCAAATATTGGCATTAATCAAGAACAACTGTGGCAAAATTCGACTGTCTGAAAATAGCAACCAACGGTCGAGTCCCAACGAGAAAATTGTGATGCTGGTAATCACACCGCGAATAATTTTTAATGCTGATCACGTTTTTTTAGGCGATTTATAGAATTTGTTGTGGCGCGTCTAATAAAATGCTCTGACCATTTTGAGCCTGCATAATGAATCGAAAGTCGACGATCTTCTAATGAAGCCAATTTTAACCGAAATTTACTCTTACTTTTAAGATTCGGTACTCGAATGTCAGTGGAAGTGATGTAATTCATTTTTTTCCGTGAAATTCCGCATTAAAACAGAATATGACGTTAAGTAAAGTATGGGAGTCTTGAATTTGTCACATAGAGAGTGGGAGGTCTTTATCTACTTTCTTTTCTCTAAACGTCTGTAAATCTTTGAACAACTATTATATTTGCTTCGAAGTACTGATTATCAATTAATCATTTGAACCAAATCTTCTTTCCTTTATTATTTACTGATGAATTTGCTTTCATTTTAATGATGAATAAACATTGGATAGGTTGCAAAATAACAATGGTAAGTGGTAAATTATAGCCCGTTACTTTTTCTTTCGCTTTTCAGCACCTTTCCGTCCCTGTCTCCTTTTACTAAATGCCTTCACGCATTTATTGCTCTGCGTACGATACTTTTAAACTAATTAATTTTATATAAATCACATACGAAATTCAGATTTCCTTTCTAATTTAAATATATTTGGATCGAATGGAGTAATTCGATGTGGGAATTGCTTCATCCTGAATTAGATTTGTGTACGCATTTCTGCCTTACGCAATTTGTATGGTTTTTAGTTAAATTGTTCTAATGGTTAGAAGAGAATATTTATTTGGTTTGCGACGTGTTCGTACAAGCTTTTTATGCTGTGTAGTTGGTGACGATTTTAAAACATTTTCTTTAATATTGAAGAGACAGAACTATATTAAAGAGCAACTTTTTGCCGAAAATGTATATGTAAATTTGTTTAGTAAACTAGATTTCTTCATTGGGTTGCTTTTTGTTTTCTTGTATTATCATCTTTATGATAATTTATTTGTCTTTGTAAGACTTTTAAGGAGCTTTAGATTTTTTCAAAAGTTTTCGAAAATCGGGCAAAACGTCGTCGTTTTCAAAAATTTGTTGCACTCATACACTAATAAAGTATTGGAATGCAAAGATTTTATTCTTTGCATTCCATTCATTTACATTTTTTCTAACCAAATTGAACTAAAAATTGTAGAATTTAATAATTGAATGAAATTAAGTCAAAATTGTTGCCAAAATGCAAAAAATTATTTGTTTTACATGATTTTCTTGTTTCGGTTAACTTTGTTCGGTTTGTCAAATTTTCGTCTCGTTTTTGAATTTATTTTTGTGTTCAGTTACACGGAGAAGCAGACGAGAACTGTAAAAATTGATGAAAAAAAACAGTTTCAACTTTTTTTTATTGGAAGAAGTGGGAAAAAAAATGCGTTTTCAATTATTTTTTTATTATTCTGGAAAGCACAGCACATAAGATTGCGAGCAATAGTTGCATTTTCTTATGCAATTCTATGTTTCTGTTCTTTTGTCCTTTAGAACCAAAATGTTCTGAGGGACGAATCACTCACGAAAAAGGTGACTTTAGCTGGTTTTTTTGTACCAACTTTGTAAAATTTTATAATTTGATAAAGTTGGAGCAAATTTTTTGGTAAAAAAGTTTCTTTTTCTTTGAATGATTTGATGAAAAAGTACCTTTCAAATGAGGTAGTTTTTGATTAATCCAAAATTGATTTGTTCGTCCAATTTTTATGTGTTTTTTCAATTAATTTTTTGAATTCTACCAGACAAACGCAGGAAACCAGACGAAAACTTCAAAAATCAATGAATGAAACGATTTATTACACTTTCAAATTAATGTAGAACAGTGTGGTAAAAAGTGGATGCGGCGGCCCATTAATGTTTAAAAACTTTGTAAGTTTTGCTCATTTTTAATTATTTTAGAAAGCGAAGCGCGTTAGATTGCGATCGACAATTGCATTTTCGAAAATAGCTTGCAAAATTTACTAACTAAATTGAATTAAAGCACATTTTTGACAAAACCAGTTTTTTGTATGATTTTTGTTAATCAAAAGGTAATTTTCGATCAATAAAATTTTGATTTGTTTATTCAATTTTTATAATGCCAAATAAGGAGGCAAAATAAGGCATTAGCCAATTAATGTTTAAAGCTTTGTAAGTTTTGCTCATTTTTAGTTATTCTGGAAAGTAAAGTGGATTAGATTGCGAACAATAGTTGTATTTCTTGATGGTTAAACATGTTCTGAGGGACGAATGAATTACTCACTAAAAAGGTGTCTTAGGTTGACTTTTTAAGCATTTTTCCGAAATTCCAATTCTACTTCATCATGGGTTTCTTGTCTCATTTTGGCAACCCTGTGTCTTACTACTGTGTCCTTTTGATGGTAATATGGCGCGGCGCGCCCAGTTTAAAAAGAAGGTTCGTTGAAATCAATACGGAGCGTTTGCGCCCCTGTACAAATCTGGATGGGGTCGTAATCCACGTACGTCACGACTTTATTACTGTGAACTGAATAGCTATGTCTATCCCATAGTATGTCGATGATAACTCAGCTGCTTCGTCGGTGAGGACAGCGGCGACGCTTAAATCGCTTTCGAGAGCATTGTTTGGGGAATAATTCCTCTTTAAGTTATAGCGATAATTTTTAGAGTTGAGAAATGTTTTATTAATGCACTTGAAGTTATTACTTGATTTTGTGGACAATGTTTTTATGACTAACAGTTTTTGTTCTGTAAGATCGAAAAGCCACAATTTGATCGGTCATAAACCTATATTGTGTTAGAGTGGCAAAGAACTATTCCCTGAACGATCCAAGTTGTGATATATCAGCATATTTCATTTATAAGTGAACGAGTATAAACCTCATAGTCTCATACTCTTAGTCATCTTTCATAGTCTTAGTCCATGAAAATTCAGAAAACTTTAGCAAGTTGCGCCGAATATAATTTTAGATGTAATTATGCATTGTATTGCATTCGCATGATCAGGCAGTGTAAACTTAGACAACCAACAGTAATTATTACTCAAATTTCAGTTACAGGTTATATTTATTAATTAATATTCTTAGCATTTATTCAAGGAATATCTGGGGCGTCTCAGGGTCTATTTTCGCTGGCCAAGTAAAATACTCTTCCTGATCCATTTATTTACTTGGCAATTTGACTGGATTTTGCGTACTTTGACTTGTTTTATCGTTTAAATATTTGGAATTATTTTCACTTGCTCCCATTCGTTTCATAACAAAGAACACTGCTTTCCGTTCCCAGTATAAAGCATACAGTCGATACTGCACTAAATTCGAAATTTCATTCATTTGCTTTGCCAAGACGTAAATACTGTATATATCCCGTCTGGAAATAACATAAAGTGCTCATCGGATGACTGAGCTGATTTTCCAGCTCAACCTGCACTTGCTCCATTTGTAGCGATCCCTGGAATTTCCACATCGCATTTGCCGCTTTCCACGTGAGAAATGAAATGGGGTTGACCTAGAAATATGAAGCTGTTGTTAAACATGCGGAAATGGAATAGTAATAGATCTTGTTAATAATCGAAGCCCATTCATTTCACGGCTAACAGCATTAGACGTGTGATGATGGCGATAAGTAACGAAATTAGCACCCATTAGACTTACATAATATAACAAAAAAAACACATTTTGTGCAACTTGATCGCACAGTCTCTGCTATGATTTTCCGCTGTGCAAACCTGACTCGCGATGTCGAATTTGGTTGAAAAGTTAATATGGCAGGTTAAATTTGACAAACAGTCGAGGCGTTTCACTCCTTCCTTTTTTAGAAGACTTGTCTGGAAACAAATTTATAAGGGTTGAACGACTGCCAACCCCTAATTCAACACTGTCTGCCCTGTTGCAATGTTGTATGCAGTTGAATAACATGCCACGAATTTTGATTAATTAGCCTTAGATTTCAGGTAGACGCTAAGAAATTTATTGTTATAGTCCGTCAACAGAATCTGTTATATATAAATAAAATAATAATATAATATAAAATATCTGATATTTTATATATTTTTGGAGCTTATCGCTCAAAGTATAATACATTAGAAACAGTTTAAAGAAACTAGTAATCGTTCATATTTATTTATATACGTCCTTTCTGAAGGACGATCTCGCTATCACGGGAAAATTGCGGTTAACCTTTATTGTGGCTTTCACGTTAAGGAAATTCGCATTTTTCTTCCGACTGTTCAATGTTTAATTATACGTATCGCCAGCCACATGCCAAATCATTTGTTGATAAACTGTCAGTGACTACGTAAATTGTTTTAAAGAATAATAAAATTAATGGTTTGTGTTGTTTACTTTTAGGCGTTTAGAAATAAAATTTTCGATAATTAATTCAAAATTGAAACTAGTTTGAATTCAGATGTATTTGAACAAACAGTCTCAAAACAACAAAAGCGAGACATGAAATTACTAATCGAAAAAAAAAACACTTTTGCCTACTTTAATTTTCGAAAAAATACCCGTTGACCTAACCGAAAAATTTCTGGTTTATTTTAGAAATTGACAAAAATTTGCCTGCAAGTCATTCTAAATTGGCATAATTCCTGTGGAGGTGTTGCCTGAAGATCTTTACGGAGGGCCGAAAAAATTGTAAAAAAATATTATTTCCAAAAACTGGAAATATTTTCAAGAAATTAATTGAGAAATTTGGCAGTTTTTTCTTTTTAACATTACGCGGTTACTTGCTATTTTAGCCACACCATTGAACTTTGTGAAACTGAAGAAGTCGTACAGTGAAATTTTCGATAGGACTCAGCTTTGTAGGAAATATTTTTGCATGCATTAAAGCTTTGCTTGTGTTCTCGGCCACAGTTTTTTGATGCGATTTTCTCTCTAAGCAAGTAAATAAACGCTTTTTTTCTCTCATTCTCAGCTGCATAAAATGTGAGCTGACCCCAGCTCTAAACTCAGCGAATATTTTTAACATTTTCTTCGTACTCTCCAAGTAAGCTCCAGTAGACCTCTGGAAGAGATGACGTTAATTTTGAGTCACCCTCTTGGATTAGCGTCAACTCAGTCTTTTACATTAAAATGACTCACAGTCCAGTCAGGTCAAAGGGTCAAGGAGAAATAATTTAACTTTTATTGCAATGTCTTTTTTTCTACCTGACTTTGTTCTTTTCTTAAACAAATTTGCTGCTTTACCCAGTTTGTACCATCTGAAGACTGCATTTTTTCACTGTTTATTAATAAAAAGTATTTGGGGTTTCTAAAACATCGGTGCCCTGATCTGAGTCTTAAAACTAAGGATTTTTGTGTATGCACTAATAATATGAGTTATAATGATGCTGATTTCTCCGAACTTCTCACTTTAATTCGGTATTTGCTGCCCATTTGAGTTGATTTTAAGTCACAAATATTTATTTATTTTTGCGTGTTGCTATTATTAGTAACATTCATCTCTAAGTCGAACTAAAAACAATTGCAAATTTACAGAAGAAAAATTTAGTTTCAGTTTCAGAATTCTAAATTCAAATGATGCCTTCTATCTGTTGGGCGATAAATCGATGGAGGTAATTAGGTACAAACAAATTAGTATTGTATTTATAAAAAAATAATTTAAAATGATACATTAATGAAATAATTGCAAAACAATTGAGTATAAACCAGATTAGAAATTGAACATGAAACTACCTGTGATCCAACTGGCAATGTTTATAAAATACTTTACCAATACTAATTTATACTGATTTTAATTAAGAATTTGTTTTTAAATTTTACTCTTAATCATCAGTTTTTCTATATCATGTAGCAACTAAATTTGATTGCAAAATATTGCCTTATGCCGGTCAGATTCCCCGATCCATTGGCCACTAAATTATGCCAATTAATAATAATATTCGTAATATCGTTAATTCGTACGATTTATTGCGGATTCTGAAAATTTTCTGGCAATTTTTGGGGTTCTTTGTTGCGCGCTATTCTCGATGTAAAGTGACGAGGAATTAGTGGTTAGGTTATTTTTTTCATTTTATTGTGTTTTAGATAATAAAATTAAGAAAATTAGTTTGTCGCTTCTTTGGAGGCATAAGCATAGATTTTGGCTCGTCGCTTGGCTCATGTGATATGATCTACACATCGTTACCAACACAAAACGACCGAACTAAAGGATTGAAATTTATTTTGGTTTTACTGAAATTGCAGTATTTTTTTGTGCAAGAAAATTACCTTCAATAAGTGGCTGACTTTATTGGCCAATAGATCGACGCGAAGTGCCGTAGTCTAATACCGGCATAAAAGAAAATTTGAAGTTGCCTGGTTAATTTTGCAAGTGTGAGTGCAGGTTGGATTCTGACGCTTTTTGCGTAGCTTGGCAATACAGCGATTTTCTCACCCCTTATGAATCTCTCCATTGGCAATGAACGAAAAGGCGCAGGCGGATATTTCGAGGTTGCCGCAGCTATTTTTTTAGCCTAAACTTAATAACATTTGTCGTCTATGGGTTTCGGTCTAATAAATGTTTTTGTCGTTCAAAATTTTTCGGGTTAATCAGCTTCAAACATTTATACGCGCCGAACTGGTTTACATAATTCTAAATAGGAATGGACTTAATTTGAAACACATGTAAGCTCGCTCTCTCTGTGCGACATTATATTAATAAGTTTCACTTTCGTCCTACCACCCAGTCCGCCGCGTCTCGCAATCTCGCTGTCGTTATTTCGCTAGCATTTCTTGGAGCGGTTTGATTTTTTGTGTTGCTGGTGCTTGTGGTTAGTTTGGCCAGGTTCCGTTTTTATTTTCGGTCGTAGTTTTTTGTTTTTGATTTTCGAAAAAAGGAGGTATTTTTGCAAGTTGACAACGCTGTTCGGCCCCACCGACACCGCGAGGCGGCGAACTGTTCCCCTTGCTCCTCGGCGACGTCGCGCGATCCTCGTTGCCATCATCAGTTCTGGCGGGTCCTGCGGTCATGTTAACGTCTTCCCTGCAATTACCAACTGGACGAGTTTTTTGCAATACCCACCCGATTATTCGTAACAACGCCCGTCCGATCGACGTGAGCTTTGCCGCCTCCGCAAGCCACTTACCCACCACCAACTTACCGGTACTCGTCTACGGTACGCACGGACTCAAAACAGCCAGTGTGAGTGTAAGTGTTCCCCCACTACCGCCAGTACAGTGCTTCCAGTTTCCTTGTCTAGGAGCGACCAAAACGTCCTTGAGGAGTTTCCAACCGGTGCCACCCCCAAGTCTCATCCGAGATAAATTTTTCTATGTTTGGGGTGTAGGCGGCCAGTTCATTTGGATACCAGCAATCGTTCCGCAGCGTTTCTGTCTGTTTAATCATCAGGGTGTGCAATACTGTTATATCGGTCAAGGACAGTACTCTTTGAACATTAGACTGACCGGAACAGTGGGTGGGAGGGGAGTCGGAACTCCTGGCAGTAGAGGTGGCATGGAGACCAGGTAGGTTACTAACTTGCACCCCCGTAGCTTCTTGATGCAGCTTTATACCCGCAGTTTATTTCTGGCTTTGTAGATTGAAAAAATATACAAAAACGCTTTCCAATCATCAAAGGGCGCAGCAATCAGCTGATTGTCCCCGAGCCCATAATTTTCCTATTAGCCACAATTAAAGTGTAAATGCTTCAGTTCCATACGGGGGAGTCTAAATCGGTGTCATTCCTGTTAGGGGGTTATAGGGGCTCACTTGGAGAGTACCTACTAGAAAAATATAAAAAAAAAAATTTCGAAGATACTGACAGATGAAAATCGAATTTCAACTATGTTATTAAGTGTTATTTTGAAATGGTCCCATGTTTCATTGGTGGCCTATTGCAATACTTAAGCATTAGAATAGGAAAATTACGATGTTTGCTTCAAATTCTGAATTTTTTTTATATTAAGAAGTTCTCTTCCACAATTTTTTGACCAAAATGCAAAGCGACAACAATGTTTTTGTGGTTATCAGGAAGTTACAGGTAGATGGCTTATGTCAAGAATAACAAGCATTTGTCAACTTGTGACTTAGTTTGAAGCTTATTTCAGAAAATGAATCGAATATGCGGGTATCTATGCTGTAAGAACTTACGCTAACAAAGGGCTAGAGACACTGAACGATTAGCTAAAGGAGTTCAAAACGATCAAGAGGTATTCAGGTTCTAGACGTAGAGGAAGCCTTCCAGGGGTACCCGGAGCATTGCACAACTTTCTCAGGCAGCTGTTCAAAATGTGAGCTCAGTAATGCTCGAATAACGGGCAATAAAGTGATTGCACGGGCAGAACTTCGAACAATCTTGTCTTATGATGTCAATTTGATTGCTGATCTGTTTCTTAAAATAAATCAGTTCTTTCAAGACTGCGGAAATTTGAAAAAAATCGTCACTATTGATTATTGATAGGTTTAATCGTAAATTTATCGGTAATTGTTGAATTTAAGTAGAACTCGTTACCTGAATCATACTTAGAATTCAATGAAGAAGTTAACACTGAAATAAAAAGCAGGTGATTCCATTTGAAAAATTGCTAATCCCAACTTATTTTGGACCACAGTGTATAAATAAATTTGCTATAAAAATCGCAATTACATATAAAAATTGTCGGGTGCTTTTTTCCAGAAAGTCCGTTGAGTTGAAAAGTATTTCAAACATTTCTTCTGGGGCTCACTGTATATTGATACCATTAGATAGCCGAACTCTTCCCGAGGTCAACCGTATATTATACATAAATATTTTTTCTGAGTTTCTGAAATATTATAAAATATTTGTTTTTAATGTCTAGTTTTAACTCATTATTAAGTAGCAATCAAATTTAAAAGGCGAACAACCAAACACTTGTTTTTGAAACGTTTTATTTTTCTTCTTATGTGACTGTAGGTAATTCTAAAAATTATGATCTACTAAAAATTAATTTACATTTTCCAGTTATAAAGGAGCTAAAAAATAAAGTTGCAATCAGAAAAGCAATTTTTTACCCACTCTGTGCGTAGTTCAAAATAACAACAAAAATCCTAAGGAAGAGTCATATAACCACCAACATTTTTCAGAATTTTGAAAAGTTCAATTAGCAGGACACGTTCTTGCTTTAACGTTTGATCACTATTGTTAAGAGTTCTTCTAACATATTTTTTAGCGCTACATCGATGGTCTCTTGTGTAAATCTTCATGGTAGTATATAATATTCTTATAATGGTACCACCTTCAGTGGGAATTCATTTTCTTCCGTCCAATTTCAATATGAATTAAACGGAATTATACTTATTTCAATACTGGGCATTTTCTTAATAATTGATTCGTATTCCACATTGTAGTCCTCTGAAATTCCTATCCAAATTTTCAAAGTCCACTCATCCAAGCCTCTTCACCCCGTTCATCCATTGCTTTGGCGGAAAAAAAATTGACACCATCACTTTTTCACCAATTTTTCAAGACCTGACGATTCGACTAGCGCAAGTACTGCATGTTTTATCGACTCATTCCTCAAACATTGCTCAATTTTTCTTGCAGCTTCTTTTGCAACAATCTTTTCCAATATGTGACTTTTTTCCAATATCACGTGGGCTTTAATGAGCTCAACAATATTTAATCCAGACAGCAATAAAGCGATCAAATGCAAACATTGCAGGACAATCTACATTAAACATTAAGTGCACACACTCAAAAACGTTGCATTTGAGCCAACAAAACTAGCGTTTTATATACAATTTTAATTAGCAGAGTAGCTAGATAAACTAGCAATTTGCCAACAACCTCAGACAAATATTTATAGTTTTCATTAAGTAACTTTATTTAATGGAACTTATTTAGCATAAAACGCTGTTTTTACTTTGAGTTCGGAACTAGAGTGGTTTTTATCTCATGGAATGATGGTTAATTGCACACTTACAGTTAGTGAACATTTTATTAAGTAATCCCAAATTTATTTGGTAATAGTTTTCGAGTTCCTCTTTCTCCAGCAAGTTTCTCCGCTGTTATGGCCTCTTACTACATCTTTGGATTTAAAATGTTCTCATATAATTAATTAATCTATAAACCTATTTGGAAAATAGCCGTCAAATCAAACCGTAGCATTTGCTGTATGACTAAATAATTTTCCAATAATTTTGTGTATGGCAGTGCTGTAGTGTTCATGGTGTGCCATACTAATGAGATTTTTAATGTGTATTGTCATTTGTTTCTATGCGGCCCATAGTGGATAAAAATTAGCTCCAGGTATTAATTAAATTCGATTATTATAAACTAGCCCTGACAGCAACTGATAGTAAAATTGAATAAAAATGGAATAATCAACTAAAAGCTGAAAGTAAATTGATGTTAATTTGCACATGTTTTCCGTGAAAATAGATTTTCAATCTTAATTACTTGGTTGGTGTTAAAGCTGATTTTTGAGCTTTTTAATTAATTGAAGTACTTTCTGGTATGCCGGCGGGCTACTAACAAATTTACTTTATTAATTATTGTTCGGAGAATTTAGTCCAGACACGATAATGTTGTACGATAACTAGTTTGAACTTCATGCCAAAGTTTTTAACGTCCGTTTTTGTATGCAGTTTTGAAGCTTTCTATGGGGGAAACTAAAGCCGCTTAAAAAAACTTGCTTTAAAACAGCAATAATAATAATAATAATAAATTAATTTTAAAGTGAAATTTTGTGCTTACGGGGTCAATACCATATTCTCCAATGTAATAATTACAATCGTGTTCATGCAAAATCTGTAAAGTACTAGAGTTATATTGTTTTATTCCGACATCCAATTCATCATTTATTCGAAATCCTGCGGCTAGTCGCGCATACCCGTTTTGTAGCACAATAGTAAAAAACAAACAATGCAAACCTGCAACAAGCTTATAGGCTCTTTGTCAGCGCATATTTAATGCTACTGAACAATGGTAAATTAATTTACTATTATCCAGTAATTTTAGTGGATTATTAGTGGATCTATGAAGTCTTCAAATAAATTTTGAATAATCTGTTTAATAATGAAAAAGGTAACCATTTATTAGACTGGTACGGCTTTTAATATTTGCTGCCAACGTAGCTTTATTGCAACAATAATTGTTGACGGTGAATGCAGAACAATGATTTTGTTATTATATTGATGCTTTGTTGCGTGTGTTTTCTACGTTAAATTAGTTTATGGTCATCCAAATTTTTGCAGCTGGTTTTGTGGTTTTCACAAATTTTTTCATCTACCATTAGTAGAAAAACTGGCGCAAATAATTATGTGAGTCTGTTAGTTGCTTTTTTATAGATGTTTAGAGCGTTAAAATAACAATTTTCAAAACTACCCCGTTGTCTATATTGAAGAGAAACCATACGTTTTGGGCGCTTTGAACAACCTCTGCTAATCAATACCACCACTTCGTGCGTCAAATATAGAGAAGTAACTATGGCTGGGGTTGCACAAAAGCACCGAGCCACCCCTAGAAAAGGTTTTTGTTGGGTGAATAGATACTTGCCCCAAAATCGAGGTCGACGACCCATTTTGTATCGAATTCAGTGCATTCACACCCCCATTATTTATTGGTGGGTTCTGCGGAGAATCCGGAAGCCGATGAATCAAGTTCTTTAAACTTGTTGAAATTTAAGAACTCTTTGAATAGGTAGCCAGATGATTGAATCATTTTTCTGTAAACTGTTGCACCATTCGTACGATGTCATTTATATAGAAAGCAATTTATTACCATTAAGGTTCAAATACGAAAACAAAAACTCGAGCCTGCCATTAAATCGCCATAATTCTTAGTTACCCGGATATAAAATTATAGCGTTATCGTGACATTCGAAACAGAGCTTAATGTGGTCATCTGTCATCACGATATTGTCAAAAACGTGCTTTATATGCCTCATAGCACTTTGGAACATAAGGTTCTCATTAAATTAAATTTTCAGTTTGAAAATCTCTATCGAGTATTTTACCCAGAAGCGTGGATGTGTGAGTATCCATCGGAAATATTTGCGGAAGAAACGGCCATCAGGTGTTTAGTTAGTGTTGCCAAAGGTTTTAGTTGAGGCAGTAACATTTTCGTGAAAATAACTGGTTTCAAGTCGTTACGGCATTTTAAAATTGAAAATTTTCTAGTTATGATTCGTTGTTGTTTCGAAATATGAACATTTACTGAAAATACTCGAGTTCATTGGCTTCTTGCGGGCCAATTTTTCTGGCATTCAAAACTCTAGTATTTAATCTGCAATCATCATCGTCAATGGATGTTTTCCTCCTCTAAATTGTCCGTATAGAGTAGGAATGAATTTTACTCTCGATGGGAAGATATAAATAAGTTCTATAATAATGGCAAGATATGTTTTTTTAAATGCGTAAACAAAATACATTTGAATTTATAAAGTCTTTTTAGAGAAAGAGTTTTTACAGTGTAATGTATGTTTAGAGAAATATTCTTAGTTGTAACAGAAAGGTGTTCTTTTAAAAGCTGATATTAGATGAATTTTTGAAAAATATCTATTAG